TGTGTGGGAGTCTAAGTCTCTTTATAAGTCTTGTATGTCTGGGTATTCCTGTATTGGGTGCGTGTATATTTAGGACCTTTAACTCTTCTTGTTGTTGCATTGATTCTTTTATCATTATATAATGTCCTTCGTTGCTTCTTTTGATCTTTGTTGCTTTAAATACTATTTTATCAGAGGCAAAAATTGTAACTTCTGCTTTTTATTTATTTATTTTTGCTCTCTGGTTGGTTGGTGAGTCTCTCTCCATCCCTTGTTTTGAGTCTTTGTGTATCCTTGAATGTGAGATGGGTCTGGATGCAGCATACAGTTTTAGTTTTTTGTCCAAATTGCCTGTCTTTGAATTGAGGAATTTAGTCAATTTAAATTTAGAATTAATAATGATGTATGTGAGTTTAATACTGTCATTTATATTAGCTGGCTATTTTGCCCATTAGTTGACGTAAATTCATTATATTCATGTTCTTTACTTTTTGGTATTTTTTAGAAAGGCTAATACTGTTTGTTCCTTTCTATGTGTAGTGGTTCTTTCAGAAGCTCTTGTAAAAGAGGCCTGGTGGTGATGAATTCTCTGAGTGCTTGCTTGTTCACAAAAAACTTTATTTTTCCTTCACTTATGAAGCTTAGTTTGGCTGGATGTGAAATTCTTGGTTGAAAGTTCTTTTCTTTAAGGATGTTGAATATTGGTCCCCACTCTCTTCTGGCTTGTAGGGTTTCTGCTGAGAGATCTGCTGTAAGTCTGATAGGCTTCCCTTTGTGGGTAACCTGACCTTTCTCTCTGGCTGCCCTTAGTATTTTCTCCTTCATTTCAACCCTGGTGAATCTGACGATTATGTGCCTTGGAGTTGCTCTTCTTGAGGAATATCTTTGTGGTGTTCTCTGTATTACCTGGAGTTGAATATTATCCTGCCTTACTAAGTTGGGAAAATTTTCCTGAATAATATCCTGAAGCATATTTTCCAGCTTGGATTCATTCTCTTCGTCACATTCAGGTACACCTCTCAAGCGTAGATTAGGTCTTTTCACATAGTCCCATATTTCTTGGAGACTTTGCTCATTCCTTTTTATCCTTTTTTCTCTAATCTTGTCTTCTTGTTTTATTTCATTGAGTTGGTCTTCGACCTCTGATATCCTTTCTTCTGCTTGATCAATTCGGCTGTTAAAACTTGTGCATACTTCACGTAGTTCTCGTATTGTGTTTTTCAGTTCCATCAATTCACTTATTTTCCTCTCTAAATTTTGTATTCTTGTTGACATTTCGTCAAACCTTTTTTCAAAGTTCTTCGTTTCTTTAGATTGTGTTAGAACAAGTTCTTTTAATTCACAGAAGTTTCTTATTATCCACGTTTTGAAGTCTGCTTCTGTAATTGGAACACACTCGTTCTCCATCAAGCCTTGTTTCGTTGCTGATGAGGAACTGGGATCCCCTGCTGAGGAAGAGGCGTTTTGATCTTGGGTATTCTCAGCCTTTTTTGACTGTTTTCTTCCCTTCGTTGTAGATTTATCCATCTGTGGTCTTTATAATTACCGTCTTTGTAATTGGGTTTCTGAGTGGACGTCCAACTTATTGATTCTCAGCGCCGAAATCTGAGCAACCCACTGCGCCGACCAAATCAGCGGCGTTAAGATTGATGGTGCTTTTCTGACTCTGCACCAAGAACCGACGCTCCGAGGCACCGGCAAAACCGCCTCGCCGGTCACAAGAGTCGCACTGGCGACCCGTGGGGCTCCTCCGCTGGGAATCTCCTGGTGCGTGAGCAGCAAGAATTCATGTGAAGGTGTGGCGTCCTCTCGTTCTTTGCGTTTTCAGTGGGAGCTACAATCCCGAGCTGCTAGTGATCAGCCATCTTGGATCTCTCCCCCGTCTCCAGATTTTTTAATGACCGCCATTCGAACTGGTGTGAGATGGTATCTCGGTGTAGTTTTGATTTGCATTTCTCTAATGACTAGTGATGATGAACATTTTTTCATGTGTTTGTTGGCCTCAGTAATGTCTTCTTTTGAAAAGTGTCTGTTCATATCCTTTGCCCACTTTTGAATGGGTTTGTTTTTTTTCTCGTAAATCTGTTTTAGTTCTTTGTGGATTCTGGATATCAGCCCTTTGTCAGATGGGTAGACTGCAAAAATTTTTCCCCATTCTGTTGGTTGCCGATTCACTTTAATGACTGTTTCCTTTGCCATGCAGAAGCATGGGATTAGATTGGGCCCACATAGATAATCTAGGATAACTCTCCATCTTAACGTCTTTAACCTTATCTTGTTTGCAACGGCTTTTTTTTTTTTTTTTTTTTTGCCTTGTAAGGTAATATATTCACAAGATTTGGGAATTAGGATATGGATCTCTTTGAGGGGTCATTATTCTGCCTACCACAGATCCCAAACCTCTTTCCAGAATACTATTAATGAATTTAAAACTTTTATGGTCAAAAGAATATAGCCATGATTTGAATTCATGCTGGGAAAATTATATCACCTCTAGTTCTGTCTTTTTTCTTCAAACTCTTGTCTGCCATTACCTGTTGAATATATTTTCTTAGATATTTTTGTAAGTACCTTGTTAACTTTTGCTATGTAACAAACTGCTCTGCAGTTATTTATCATTGCCCACATATCTGAGTGTCAGCTGACATAGGCTGGGTTTGATGGATGTCTCTGATGACCTTGGCTGGACTTGTAGTGTATCTGTGAGTTTGCAAGTCAGCTGAGAATTGTCTAATGTATCCTGAGGCTCTGGGGAGGCAGCTCTGTTCTACATGTCTCTTGTTCTCCTACCTTTGAGCTAGCCTAGGCATGTTCTTCTAATGAAAATGGCAGAAATGCAAACATGAAAGTAGAAACATTTGAAACTTCTTTTGGCCTAAGCATAGAGCAAGGAAACTGTCATCTTTGCTTTATTCTGTCAGCCAAAAGTCGTCACATGGCAAAATAAAGGGGCTGGGAAATATACTCCTCCTCTTTAGTGGGAGGAACAGCAGAGTCACTTAGCAAAGGACTTGAATGGAAAGGAGGTAAAGAATTGGGACCAATGGTACTATTGACCCCATACTCAGACTTTGTATACCACAAACTGAACTAATATCTGTGACTACCTCCCTCACCAGAAACCCGTTTTGCATTCTTTATTTCTGATCTTAGTTAATGATTCTATTCTATGCTTAGTCACCCAAGCCAGATACCTAGGAAGTATTTTGGAGTCTTTGTTTTCTCTTTTTCGTATCTTCAGTATTTACTTTTTTTTTTTTTTTGAGACAGGGTCTCACTCTGTCACCTATCTGGAGTGCCCTGGCATAATCATAGCTCACTGCAGTCTCAGACTCCTGAGCTCAGATGATCTTCCCAAATTAGCCTCCTGAGTAGCTGGGACTACAAGCGTATACCATCATGCCTGGCTAATTTTTTTGGTTTGGTAGAGGAAGGGTCTTGCTATTTTGCCGAGGCTGGTTTTGAATTCCTGGCCTGACACAGTCCTCCTGCCTTGGCCTCCCAAAGTGCTGGAATTATAGGCATGAGCCCTCGTGCCTGGCCCAGTATTTAGTTTGACATTCTCTAATCTGTCATCTTTTCCAGTCTTACTACCATTGCCTCTCTGGTTCAGGTTCTCATATCTCTGAGAAGAAAGGGAGGGAGTAGACTTAATTGTTTCCAATCCTACTTTCTTCAGGTCTGTCTCTTATATTGCAGCCAGAATACACTGCCTAAAATACAGATGCCACTCCTATATACTGACTTCTTATTGCCTTTAGAGGATGTCCCCTGTGATCTGTCTTTTCTAACCTCATCTTCCACTCTTGCCTGCCTTCTCTTTTGCCATTTTAGTTCAGAAGTCAGCAAACTTTAGCGAGTGAGCCAATCTTGTTTACTGACTGAATTTGCACTACAGTGGCAGAGTTGAGTCATTGCAACAGATGGCTCACAAAGCTAAAACATTTACTCTCTGGTCCTTTATAGAAAAAGTTTGCCAGCCCTGCTTTCGTCATGTAGAACCTATAATAGCTCTCTGTGTATACCATTTTATTTTATGCCTCAGTGCTTTTTATTGTGTTTTTTCTTTACCTGGCTAAACTCTATTATTTTTTAAATAAAAGCTTTATTAAGGTATAATTACATATCATACAATTCACTTGCTTAAAGTGTACAGTTCATTGGTTTTTAGCATACTCAAAATTGTTCAGCCATCACTGTAATCAGTTTTAGAACATTTTCATTGCCTTCTCAAAAAACCCCATGCCCATGAGCATTCACTCCCTGTACCCCCAACCTTATCTTCTAGCACTGAACAGCAGATAGACTTTTCAGTCTCTATAGATTTGCCCATTCTTAATATTTCGTATAAATGGAATCATATGTGGTCTTTTGTGACTGGCTTCTTTCACTTAGCTTAATGTTTTTAGGGCTCATGCATGTTACAGCATGTATCAGTATTTCATTCTTTCATTAATTACTGATTAATATTTCATTGTGTGAACATACCACATTTTATGTATCCATTCATCAGTTGATAGACATTTAGGTTGTTTCTACTTTTTGGCTATTACGAATAATGTTGCTAATAACATTTGTGTACTAGTTTTTGTGTCGTGTGTTTTCACTTCTTTGGGGTGCTAACTCTTCCTTATCCATTAAGAATTTACTTTGGGGTCATTTCCCCCGTAAGTTTTCCCTAGCCTTCTAGGCTGGGTTAAGTGTCTTTTCTGTCAGGTTCTGATGATGCTCTCGTAATACCACAGTATATTGAAATGATCTGTTAGTATGTCTCTCTCCTCTGCTCCTCTGTAAGATAATGGAGAGCAGCATCAGCACCATAATTCAACTTATTTATAACTTCATACATTAGAAAAGTTCACTTCATGTTTGTTGAATTAGAAAAGCTGTAAAGCAGTTTATACTTTTGAATTAAAATAAAATTTATTCTTTGTTTTTTTCTCTTATGTGCATTGGCTGTGTTTAAAAAAAAAGTCTTTTAGAATATATATTGATATAACTGAACTATATTTTCTTTTAAGGCCTGCAAAGAAAACAAAAAAAGTTGCTAAAGAAAAAACACCAGATGAGAGAAAAGCTGAAATAGAAAAAATAAAGGCATATCCCTATATGGAAGGTGAACCTGAGGATGATGTCTATTTAAAACGCTTATACCCAAGGCAGATATATGAGGTGGAGAAAGCTGTTCACTTACTTAAGAAATTTCAAGTTCTTGACTTTACTCATCCAAAGCAAAGTGTTTTTCTTGACTTGACACTGGATATGACACGGGGAAAGAAGGTATGTTGATTCCATTAAAATAGGTTTATTTCTGAACAGTGACTGTAGGAATTGGTATTTATTTATTTTATTTTATTGTTGTTAACTATTTTTGAAACAGGGTCTTGCTCTGTTGCCCAGGCTGGAGTACAGTGTTATGATCTCAGCTCACTGCAAACTCCATCTTCCAGGCTCAGGTGATCCTCCCACCTCAGCCTCCTGAGTAGCTGGGACTACAGGTGTACCATGCCTAGCTAATTTTTATACTTTTAGTAGAGACAGGAGTTTCCCCATTTTGCCCAGTCTGGTTTGGAACTCTTGGACTGAAACTATCTGCCCTACTTGGCCTCCCAAAGTACTGGGATTACATGCATGAGCCACTGTGCTTGGTCTCTTAATTTTAAAAATTATTGCCTCTTATAATTTGTAGAAAAGTGCATGCTTTTTCTGTACTTTAGCATGAAAAATTTGTTTGTTCATTTAAAAATTTTCCAAATATAAAATTCGTTGAAAACACTCTAGAGAGTTAACATAGAAGAGTCACTAGTATAAATTTCAACAAAAGTAGTGTTAAAAATTAGTTGAGATATCACTGTAACTTTGAAAAGTGACTTAAACTGCTTAGGTGGTGTGTTTCTTCTCTGTAAATGAAGGCTCTCGATTAGCTCAGTGTCCTTCAGATGTGTTCCTTGGGGTCCTAGGTTGAGACTAAGTTTTCTTTCTTTTTTTTTTTTTTAATTGCATTTTAGGTTTTGGGGTACATGTGAAGAACATGCAAGATTGTTGCATAGGTACACACATGGCAGTGTGATTTGTTGCCTTCCTCCCTATCAATATCTGGCCTTTCTCCCCATGGTATCTCTCCCCAACTCCCCACCTCCCGCTGTCCCTCCCCTATTTCCCCCCAACAGACCCCAGTGTGTGATGCTCCCCTCCCTGTGTCCATGTGTTCTCATTGTTCCACACCCGCCTATGAGTGAGAACATTTGGTGTTTGATTTTCTGTTCTTGTGTCAGTTTGCTGAGAATGATGGTTTCCAGGTTCATCCGTGTCCCTTAAAGGACACGAACTCATCGTTTTTGATGGCTGCATAGTATTCCATTGTGTATATGTGCCACATTTTCCCTGTCCAGTCTATCATTGATGGACATTTGGATTGGTTCCAGGTCTTTGCTATTGTAAACAGTGCTGCAATGAACATTCGTGGAGACTAAGTTTTCATAGGTGGGATTCCAAGTTCTTCACTCTTGCTTCAACCACAGCTTCTCTGCTTTATTTGTTTATATATTGGAATTTAACAGAATACTATTGATTATAAAACTCTAAATTAGTAGCAGGAAAAGACACTAGCTTAGTATTAAGGTCTATTTTAGCCCTAAATTTTATAAGCTTCTCGCTTAAGAGTTCTGTTTTTAGAAATGACTTTAATTTTTATTCTAAGGATGTCCTTTTTTTGGACAAGCTAGAATGTATTCGTTTTTGAATGTAATTTAACAACTTCAACAACAACAATAGAGCACCTAGGAGGAGGCAATACAACACAGTGCTTAAGAGCACAGGCTCTAGAGTCCACCTACAGACTGGAAACCTGCTTCACTGCTTTTTGAGATTGGACTTCTTTGCTCCATGACTTTGGGTTTAATATTTAACCTCTTCAAATCTCACTTTTTTCATCGCTTTCTGAAAGGGAATAAAATGTTCCTGTGGTTGTGGAGGATTAAATGAGATAATGCCTCTAAAGGACTTAGTGAGTGCTTAATAATAATAGTCAACATTTACTGAAAACTGTTTACCAGCTACAATGCTAAATGCTTTGCATGTGTTTCCTTGTTTAATTCTATAATAATCTCAGAAGAGGAAACTGAGGTATCGAAAGTGAAATAACTTGCTAAAGGTCATAGAATAGGGGGCAGAGGTAAGATTTGAAGTAAGGCCTGTCTGCCTGTGGATGCCACCGAAGAAGCATTGTTGAAGTCTCTTCTCCCTGCGATTATGTCTAAATCAGAGTCTCCTAAAGAGCCAGAACAGCTGAGGATACTCTTCATTGGAGGGTTGAGCTTTGAAACAACTGATGAGAGCCTGGGGAGCCATTTTGAGCGATGGGGAACACTCACAGACAGTGTGGTAATGAGAGATTGGGTTCATCACGTATGCAACCATGGAGGAGGTGGATGCAGCCTTGAATGCAAGGCCACACAAAGTGGATGGAAGACTTGTGAAACCAAAGAGAGCTGTCTCAAGAGAAGATTCTCAAAGACCAGGTGCCCACTTAACTGTGAAAAAAATATTTGTTGGTGACATTAAAGAAGACACTGCAGAACATCACCTAAGAGATTATTTTGAACAGTATGGAAAAATTAAAGTGATTGAAATCATGACTGACCGAGGCAGTGACAAGAAAAGGGGCTTCGCCTTTGTATCCTTTGACAACCATGACTCCGTGGAGAAGATTGTCATTCAGAAATCCCATATGGTGAATGGCCATGACTGTGATGTTAGGAAAGCCCTGTCAAAGCAAGAGATGGCTAGCGCTTCATCCAGCCAAAGAGGTTGAAGTGGTTCTGGAAACTTTGGTGTTGGTCATGGAGGTGGTTTCGGTGGGAATGATAACTTTGGTCGTGGAGGAAACTTCAGTGGTCATGGTGACTTTGGTGGCAGCCGTGGTGGTGGTGGATATGGTGGCAGTGGGGATGGCTGTAATGGATTTGATAATGATAGAAGCAATTTTGGAGGTGGCGGAAGCTATAATGATTTTGGCAATTACAACAATCAGCCTTCAAATTTTGGACCCAATAAAGGGAGGAAACTTTGGAGGCAAAAGCCCTGGCCTCTAGGGTGGTGGTGGGCAATATTTTGCCAAACCATGAAACCAAGGTGGCTGTGGCGGTTCCAGTAGCAGCAGTAGCTTTGGCAGCAGCAGCAGATTTTAATAAGGAAACAAAGCTTAGCAGGATAGGAGAGCCAGAGAAGTGACAGGGAAGCTACAGGTTACAACAGATTTGTGAACTCAGCCAAGCACAGTGGTGGCAGGGCCTAGGTGCTACTAAGAAGACATGATTTAGACAAATACTCATGTGTATGGGCAAAAAACTGGAGGACTGTATTTATGACTAATTGTGTAACAGGTTATTTTAGTTTCTGTTCTGTGGAAAGTGGAAAGCATTCCAACAAAGGGTTTTAATGTAGATTTTTTCTTCTTTTTTGCACCCATGCTGTTGATTGCTAAATGTAATAGTCTGATCGTGACTCTGAATAAATGTTTTCTTTTTTAATGTGGAAAAAAAAAAAGTTTTGACCCAAGGTCTGTCTCATTTCTTAGTTCTCATTTATTAGAAACAGTTTATAACAGCTGTGTTACAGTTTTGTATTTTGTATCAGAGTGTTACTGTTCTTTTATTTTGGAAATTTTGTGCTGTTGAAGATGATCACTTTCTCTGTCAATCATTAATGTAGATGATAGTGATGTTTTGTAGCACCACAAGCTTCATTTCATATATGGAAACTGCTTGAAAACTAGTGACATTGAAAAGATACTTTTGTCTTCTTAAGGCGGTTTTTTTTTCTTCATACGGTGCTTGTACAACGAGCCAGTATTTCACAGGGGATGCTATTATTGTGACTGCTTACCACTGAGAAATTTGCTGAAACCAGTCGTGACATGTTAATGGCAAAGGAATGCCAGTCCATAAAGCTAAGCTGTATGATTGATATAAAATATTCTTAATAATTTGTCCCTTTTTGTCTGAAAAGAAACTTCCAAAGGATGATTCTACTCAAAATAGGGTTTTATTGATCTTTCAATCAGTTTTATTAGGGGAATGACCACCTTTTCTTTAAACCTTAAGGCTGTAACAAAACTTTGGAGAGCCTTGTTTCTGTGTAGTCTCCCTAAGAGATCTAGGCCTCAGGTCTTAGTATTTCCTGGTCAAAATGACTGAACAGATTAGTTTGAAGGTCCTATAAAATCTCCACTTGTATTGGCATGCCTCAAATGCATGCCATTGCTTAGTTAGGATTTTCCAATTGACTTCCTAAATAAATTTGAAAGTCGTGACGGTCTAGGTTGTTTTGAAAATGGAGTCACTCAGAAGAGCCATTTAGTCTTGGCATATTGTCTTGGGTTTAGGGTTTACAGTTCCTGATAGTTTAGAGCCAGTGATGGCAATTAGGGGTGACCTGCTGCGCAGATCAGCTAGATACTGTCTTGTTCAGTATATACAGCTGTTTTCATCTCTCCCTGATGGTGTCAGAAGATTACATGGTTTTAAAACAGTCAATTGAAGGTAGCAAACATTTATTATTCATCAGATAGAAAGCATTGTAGTAGTGCTGGGGAAGATGTCGATACGCAAACACATTTCATAATATTTGAGAGACTGATGAACGATGTAGAGATAGAAGCCAAGTGGCATGAGATTATGAACCTGGAAAAAGAGATTTTGGTTTTTATTATCAAAAAAGTATAATCTTGAAAAAGTTTCTTGAAAAAGAAATATAATATCTTGTGCTTTAAATTGTAATTGATGAATAGTAAGTAATTCATGATTAGTAATCAATGAATAGTTCTGAATAGTTAATGGGAGAATATGCAGTAGAATCAGAACACTGAAAACATGTCCATTCTTGTGTTATATAGAGTTGTGTGAGAGATAGAAAAGATAAACTTTTCATAATTATTTTTCCCTGTTGCGTATTTAGAAAGCCGTGGAGCCATTTACTAGTGTTGTTAGTTTGCCATACCCATTTGCTTCCGAAATCAAGAAAGTCGCTGTATTTACAGGGGTGAGTAACTTCCGTCAACTATTTATATTATTTAATTTTTTCTAGAGATCACTAATTAATTGTTAATTATTAATCAATGATTAGCATACTGAATAAATGGAGTTAGAGAAAATTCTAGCATTCACCTAGTCTTATTTTCCCCATTTGGAGCTCAAAACAGTTGGATGATTTATTTGAGGTTATATTATTAGCTTGAGAAAGAGCTAAATTCGAACATTAATTTCATCATTACTAGAATGCTACATTATGTTTCTCATAAGAAACTGAAGAAACGAGTGGAATTTTATCCTATTAACTCCTGCTTCCTGTTCAAACTTCCCTTCCCAAACAGCGGTAGGATTTTTTTAAAGCAATGGGGAACCATTTAGTGTTGTGGTGCCTTAGAAATCAACATTTTCTTTTGAAACAGAGTCTCATTCTGTCACTCTGACTGGAGTGCAGTGGGTGTGATCTCAACTCACTTGCAACCTCTGCCTCCCTTGTTCAAGCGATTCCCCTGCCTGAGCCTTCTGAGTAGCTGGGACTACAGATGCACACCACCATGCCCAACTAACTAATTTTTGTATTTTTAGTAGAGACGGGGTTTCACTATGTTGGTCAGGTTGGTCTTGAACTTGTGACCTTGTTATCCACCTGCTTTGGCCTCCTAAAGTGCTGAGATTACAGGCATGAGCCACTGCGCCCAGTCAGAAACCACAATTTTTAGAAGTATCTAGCTTTTATAAAAGTGTCGTATATTTATAAATGTTTGTTTATAATGTGTTTACAAATTTCTTTTTTAATCATCCACAAACTATAATTGTTCTGATTGTAATATCCCTGATGGATTTAATTGAAAATTGATGCATTCAGTTCTGTTTTGAGACAGAGTCTTGCTCCGTTGTCTAGGCTGAAAGTGATGCACAGTCACTATAGCCTCAGACTCCTGGGCTCAAGCAATTCTCTTGCCTCAGCCTCCTGAGTAACTGGAACTGTAGGTGCTGGCCACTATGGCAGGCTAATTTTTAAGATTTTTTTTTTTTTTTTTTTTGTAGAGATGAGTGTCTTACTTGCCCAGGCTGGTCTGGAACGCCTGGCTTCAAGCGATCCTCTTGACTCAGCCTCCTAAAGTGTTGGGATTACATTTTCTTTTCTTTCTTTTTTTTTTTCTTTTTGAGATCGAGTTTTGCTCTGGTTGCCCAGGCTAAAGTGCAATGGTGCCATCTCAGCTCGCTGAAACCTCCACCTCTTGGGTTCAAGCAATTCTCTTGCCTCAGTCTCCTGAGTAGCTGGGATTACAGGCATGCACCACCATGCCCGGCTAATTTTATATCTTTAGTAGAGACGGGGTTTCTCCATGTTGGTCAGGCTGGTCTCAAACTCCTGACCTCAGGGGATCCACCTGCCTTGACCTCCCAAAGTGCTGGGATTACAGGTGTGAGCCACTACACCCAGCTGCATTTTCTCTTTTTTTTTGAGATGGAGTCTCACTCTGCCACCCAGGTTGGAGTGCAGTGGCATGATCTCATCCTCCACCTCCTGGGTCCAAGTGATTCTTCTGCCTCAGCCTCCTGAGTAGCTAGGACTGCAGATGTGTGCCACCGCATCTAGCCAATTTTTGTATTTTTAGTAGAGAAAGAGTTTTGCCATCTTGGCCAGGCTAGTCTTGAACTCCTGACCTCAGGGGAACCACCCAGACTTCTGGGGTTACCAGTGTTAGCCATTGTGCCCAGTGCATTTTCAGTTAAAAATAAAAGCTACAATTTGTGCTTTGAACTGTGATATTATTTCTGACAACATACTTCAAAGCAGACTGAATATATTTAAAATTAAAGATTGATGTTCAAACTATTGTGTTTTGGTAGAATGCATCAGAGGTTGAAATAGCAGAAGAAAATGGAGCTGCATTTGCAGGAGGTACTAATCTGATACAGAAGGTACAGTGTTGTTTTTATGTTCATTAGATATAGAGATGATTCTGTTATCTTTGCCATTCAGTGATTTATTATATGTGGAACACTAGGCTTGTATCTTACAATAGTGGGGCTTTATAAGAACAGGGAAAAATTTTCCAACTTTTTTTCAGTTTCACAATCAAGCTAGGAGAGAACTATCCAGGCAGTCTGTTTTTTTGTGTGTGTGTGAGTTTTGTGTGTGTGTGTGTATGTGTGTTTGTGTGTTTTTTGAGACGGAGTCTTGCTCTGTCGCCTAGGCTGGAGTGCAGTGGCTTGATCTTGGCTCACTGCAACCTCTGCCTCCTGGGTTCAGGTGATTCTCCTGCCTCAGCTTCCCGAGTAGCTGAGACTATAGGCATGCGCCAACATGCCTGGCTAATTTTTGTCTTTTTAGTGGAGATAGGGTTTCACCATATTGGCCAGGCTGATCTTGAACTCTTGACTTCGTGATCCGCCCACCTTGGTCTCCCATTGTGCTGGGATTATACAGGCATGAGCCACCGCACTCAGCCAGTGCGTGTTTTCTTTTTTCTTTCTTTTTATTATACTTTAAGTATATACATGTACAGATCATGCAGGTTTGTTACATAGGTATACACGTGTCATGGTGGTGGTTTGCTGCATCCATCACCCCGTCATCTACATTAGATATTTCTCCCAGTGCTATCCCTCCCCAATCCCTGCCCACCACCCCCCCACCCCACCCCTGAGGTATTCCTCTCCTATTCCCCGACCCCCCAGGCCTTGGTGTGTGTGTTTTCAAGACAAGGTCTTTGTCTGTTGCCCAGACTAGAATATGGTGGTGCCGTTATGGCTCACTGCAGCCTTGAGCTCCTGAGCTCAAACAGTCCTCCTGCCTCAGCCTCCTGAGTAGCTGGGACTAAAGGTGCATGCCACTGCACTCGGCTAACTTTTTGTAGAGATGGGGTTCTCACTTGTTGCCCAGGCTAGTCTTGAACTCTTGACATCAAGCAGTCCTCCTGCCTTGGCCTCCCAAAGTACTGAGATTACAGGTATGAGCCACCACACCCAACCTCAGACAGTCTGATATTGATTATACTTGACTTATATTGTGATATTATTATTATTACTACTTTTTGCTTGCTGCTTTTTTGTCTATGAGAGTTTTATGGATAGGAAAGGGCAATGTGACTCTGGTTTTGAATGTAGGATTTAAAATGAAATCCAAAAGGTCACATGGATTTCATGGCTTCCCATGAACCCCTCTATTCATGTTTGAAGATCAAATATTTGGTTTGTGTTTTGGAGTGAAAGTGTAATTCACTTAGATTATAAAGTATGATATCTGCCCTCTATAATATAGGTGCTTTTGGTTCCTCTTAACTTTTAGCTCCCAATCCTTTCAGAGTGGCATAGGCTCAGTATGGTAGCAACAAATGATTAGGTAGCCTGCCTTTAGAAAGTAACAAAGCTTGGCTGGATGTGCTGGCTCATGCCTGTAATCCCAGTACTTTGGGAGGCTGAGGTGGGCAGATCACTTGAGGCTAGGAGTTTGAGACCAGCCTGGCCAACATGGCGAAAGCCCACCTCTACTAAAAATACAGAAATTAGCCAGGCCTGCTGGCACGTGCCTGTAATCCCACCTGCTTGGGAGGCTGACATGAGAATCCTTTGAACCCGGGAGGCAGAGTTTGCAGTGAGCCTAGATCGCCCCTGCACTCCAGCCTAGGCAACAGAGTGAGACTCTGTCTCCAAAATATGAAGAAGTAAAATAAATAAATAAGAAAATAACAGAGCTGGGGAGCCTCTTTGAAAATTAAAACCTTTTCTTTTTTTGAGACGGAGTCTCACTGTCACATAGGCTGGAGTGCAGCGACTCGATCTTGGCTCACTGCAACCTCCGCCTCCCGGGTTCAAGCGATTCTTCTGCCCCAACCTCCTGAGTAGCTGGGATTACAGGCATGTGCCACCATGCTGTATTTTTAGTAGAGACAGGGTTTCACCATGTTGGGCAGGATGGTCTTGAACTCCTGACCTCATGATTCGCCCACCTCAGCCTCCCAAAGTGCTGGGATTACAGGTGTGAGCCACTGCGCCTGGCTTTTTCTCCTTTTTAAGAGGTAGAAAGAGGCGTGGAGTTATTTCTGAAAATACAAAAGATTTTCTTAGTGTTCTCTCTAAAAGTTCCTCTTCTAAATAAAATAATTTATGTTATGGAATTTTTGGTGGGGAGGAGGAAGGATACAGGAAAAAGTGACTTAAAAATTTATCCTTTGTCCCATGTTCTAATTTTCATTTGAGGAACTTTTAACTGGGCTCATCCTTTGAGATATACAGCAGTGCTTATAGTTTTTTTTTTCCCCCTCTCCTAAAAGTACTCTAAACTTGGTGAGGATTCTGGATTCTTAAAGAGAGTCTTCAGAATGATTTTTGGGAACAGAACTAGTGGGAAGTAGGAAGAGTATGCTTTCATACAGTTTCTAGGCCAAAGAGAGTGCCACCCAGTTTCTTCTGATGTATTATTAATTTTAATTAAAAAGTTATTAAAACTTTTAATTATTAAAAAATAATCACAAATGGTTGGAAATTTGAATACAACTGGGTTTCTGGAATTAGAGAACTAATCTTGAGTTTGTGTATAGCTTTCTTTTTTCTTCTTGCAAGCACAAAAGTTATCTTGTAGGACTGGCATAGCCATTCCTCTGTTTTTTTTTGTTTTTGTTTTTGTTTTTAATTTTTTTTTTTTGAGACAGAGTCTCGTTCTATTATCCAGGCTGGAGTGCAGTGGCACTATCTCAGCTCACTGCAACCTCCACCTCCTGGGTTCAAGTGATTCTTGTGCCTCAGCCTCCCTAGTAGCTGGGATTACAGGTGCCTGCCACCATGCCCAGCTAATTTTTGTATTTTTAGTAGAGATCGGGTTTTGCCATGTTTGCCAGGCTGATCTTGAACTCCTAGCCTCAAGTGATCTGCCCACCTGGGCTCCCAAAGTGTTGGGATTACAGGTGTTAACCACTGCCCCTGGCTAAGCCACCATGACTGACCTCTGGTTCTTAAATGTTAAGCAAGAAGTTACTTTCAAAAAAGAAATGGTAACAGAGCAGGAAGTGTTGTGAAACTGTAAGTTCAGTAAATGAAACATATTTTTTAAAGTAACCCAAATAAGGAAGGCAAAGACATTTTAAAATTCTATAGTATAGAAAATATTAACAGGTACAGAATTTCTTTTTAGGGCCCCAATAGAGGATCTGTTATTAGAGGGAACATGCCACCTGTGTAAGGCATTATAACCAGGATAAGTTGGCAAGGTTCCCCATGGTGTCTTTTAAAGCTAGTCCATGTTATTTTTAGAAGGTATTCAGGTTATGAAGTAAATTCAGTACAGTTTTGTAAATAGTATTATGGCTGCAATTTTTTATACATTCCTGGATTTTTAAATCAGTTTATCATTTTACTTAGCTCTTATAAAATGCTAAGTAGGATAAATTTACTTAGTCATTTCTTAGATAACACATTCATTTATTGTTTATTTTACTTTATTTTGAAACATCACAGATATGCCTGGTTCTGAGAGATTTTAAAGGAACTTCAGATTTTTATTTGTCTCTAAGAGCGTGATTTGCAGCCACAGTTTATTATTCCAAGATACAGTCTGAAGATTATTTATAGCATAACTTCCAAATACAATTTTAATTTAAAGGAACATATCATAGGATTAGGATTGGAAAGTCTTGGAATAGAAATCTCACATACAGTTCTCTGACATTTTGAAATTGCCTCTGCTTTCCTATTTCCAGTGATGAGAGCCCTGGTTCTGGACCCACACTGCCTGCATTTCAATTTTAGCTCTGCCTTCTTAGGTACAGACTGATTTATCTTCCCTGAGCCCTCAGTTTTTTTTATCTGGAATGTGTAGTCAATATTGGTACCTGACTCAAGGTTGTGGTGAAGACCATATGTTCTAAATTATATTAACTATTTAGCAGAATGCTTGGCACATGAGAAGTACCCGTTTAATGTAAGTTGTTGTTAAGGAGAGGGGAGTATGTTATTTAAGGACTAGAGAATTTGTACAAAGAATAGTAACAGAAGGATAAAATTCCATAGTCAATTTTGTTAGAATTCAAGTTTTTAATTTACCATGCACCCCTAAATCAAGGCTTTGAATGGCATATTGTGGTAAGATTTCATATAAAGAGAATTCATTGATAAAATATTTATTGCTCAGGCAGTATCATTCTAAAAATTTGCTTCATTTTATAATCAAGTAACTTTTTTGTTGTTGTTGTTGACCAGGTTGGAGTGCAGTGGCACTGCAACCTCTGCCTTCCTCACTTAAAGCAGTCCTCCCACCTCAGCCTCCCAGTTACCTGGGACTATAAGCGTGTGCCACCACACCTGGCTAATTTTTGTATTTTTGTAGAGATGGGGTATTACCTTGTTGCCCAAGCTAATTTCAAATTCTTGAGCTCAATTAATTCTCCTGCCTTGGCCAGGATCCTAAAGTGCTGGGATTACAGGTGTGGAGTTTAAGTGGAATATATTGTATGTTTAAGTGGGGTATATTAAGTGGAGTTTTTAAGTGGAGTATATTGTAGTGTAGTAATATATTAATTATTCTGGGTGTTTGCCTGAATTAATAAAAATATTTTCTAAAAATTGAATATTAATTCCTTTGTTCTGAGAATGAATACAGAATCTGGATAATAAACTGTAAATGAACTTGTCTATGATCACTCCCTCTTCTTTTATTGTTAGTTAACAGTGGTAAGGAAAATTTTAGTTTCAGTTCTTTGTGAAAATAATTATAAATTCAGTTCTCTGATGCTCTAAATTTAGGGAGCCAGTGGTTGCTAGTGAGTTTAGCACTTAGTGGTTATTAATTTTACATGTGATGTATTGCAAAATTTTCAGCTTTTGTAGGTTTCTTCAGTTTTAATAAATATATGAATTTAACTTAGTACACATTCATTGCTTTATTCTAACTTGTAATACTTTTGCCTAACAATCCCAATGAAGAATTAAAACCATTAATTTTTTTTTAATTGATGTGGCTGTTTTTAAAGTAAAGGAAAATGTTTTGCCTCTGATGGTTTTTATAATTGCAAGTGTATTTGTATGATCCTTGTGTTTGAAGAATAGAATTGTGCTTAATGTCTATTTTCTGAATTATAAAGGAAATGACCGCATTGTACTCTTTCAGAATGATAAAGCTTTTCATGTCATCTAAGGTCACTTTTTTTTTTTTTTTTTTCAGATTTTGGATGATGAAATTATTGTAGACTTTTATGTAGCTGTTCCAGAAATAATGCCTGAACTTAGTCAATTGAAGAAGAAACTGAATAAAAGATTTCCAAAGTTTTCTCAAAGTAAGAGAATTCCTGTTATTTCGATATGCTGTCAACAACTTTCTTGTGAACTTTGCACAGTTAGGAAACAAAGTTGTTTTATGTATGTGTGTGTATATATATATATATATATGTATATAAATAGTATGTCCTGATATTTGAGTTTGAGTTATTAGAACATATAGATTTGATTTTTTTTTCCCCTTTGGCATTAATACTGGTAATCTAATACGATTTGAAAACCTAGTTAGTTTTTCATACCAGTTTTAAAAATTTAGATCATAGTCTAGCTCCCAATTAGTGGAATGTATTACCTACTCAGTATATTATCATCATACTGTTTTATTGGCTTTTATCCCTATTTATAAATATAATATGTGTGCTCATTTATTTAAAAGTGTTCAACATATATAAATGTTGACCATGTACATGGCTCTGGAGGTAATTTCTCCTAAGAAATTGTCCCCTTATGGATATTTTTTCCTTAAGAAATCTAATAAGAAAGTTAAGGTCACTAGATAAGGAACTATGTTATAAAGTGTGAGGTATTATATAATAAATTCACAAAGTGCTAGGGGTGTTCAGTGGAGGCAGAGTTTACACATAGGTGCGGAATCAGGGAAGGCATTGTAAAAGAGGTGACATTTAAACATAAAGGAGGTAACAGTTGGATGGATTGATTGAGGAGAATATTATTTTAAGTAGAAGGAATTAAACATAGACACTAAAGTACGTCAGAAATTATAGGCCATGTACAAGAAATACTAATTAGCTCTCTTTACCTGTGGGGAATGGTACCCCTACATTGAAATAGAAGAGAATAATGGGAAATGATGTTGGAAAGGTAGATTGATGCCAGATTGAGAAGAACTTTGAATGATGGGCCAATGAGCATGAGCATCTGTATTCTGTATTCAGCAGGACTCCCTTAGAAGTTTTTGAGATGGGAGTGACATAATCTGTTCTTTAGAGCTTTAATCTGGCAAGAGATTTTAGAGAATTGAAACTAGAGTCAGGGAAACCAGTTAGGGTGCAATGGCAAGAGACTAATACATGTAATGTTTAAGCTAAGGTCTTCATAATGAGACTGGAGTGAAGTGTATAAATGTCAAAAGATATTAAGACTTAGCAATTAATTAGGAATGAACAGGTTGAGGGGAGAAAAGGAGAGTCAAATGATACTGAGGTTTTTTTTTTAAGACTAGAGTCTTAAAATAGTGCCATAATTAATGGAAACAGGGAGTGCATTTGGGAGGAAAAACAAGTTCACTAGCTGACACAGTTTGTTTTAGGTAGTGCTGGATGTCTGGTATATTATTATTTCAAATAAAATTTTGTAGTATAAACAGAACAAATATTTTTAAATTGTTTTAGTAGATTTGTCTTCAAATTTTAACTCTAGTTGTGCTAAAAAGTTCTGCTAAAATTTTTATGTATCCTAGCCATTAACACTTGTCTGAATTCTAGATCATGACCTGTAAATTCAAATGGACTCTCCAGTTCTTTGGTTGCATTCGTTTTGCTTTTTTGATTATTTATTTATTTATTTATTTTGAGACAGAGTCTTGCTCTTTTGCCCAGTCTGGAGGGCAGTGGTGTGATCTCAGCTCACTGCAACCTCCGCTTCCTGGGTTCAAGCAGTTCTCTGTCTCAGCCTCCTGAGCAGCTAAGATGACAGGCATCTGCCACCACGCCTAGGTAATTTTTGTATTTTTAGTAGAGACAGAGTTTCACCATCTTGGCCAGGCTGGTCTCAAACTCCCGACCTCGTGATCCATCTGCCTCAGCCTCCCAAAGTGCTGGGATTACACATGTGAGCCACCACACCTGGCCTTGTTTGATTACTTTTGGTAGCATGCATTAAGTCACAAATATTTGTTAGATATTGGACTGATATGTGACACTTTTTATTAGGGATTTTCCTTATAGCAATGCTTGTTATTAGGGAATCCAATTTATATTCTTTCTTAAGACCTAAAACTGAACATATTTTTAAAAAATTAAACCAGAATTACAGTTGAATATGATGAAAATATTTCTCATAATTTTTTTATTCTTAATTAAATTCAAGCTCAACTTAGAGCAAAACATTACTAAGTATAGTCAAAACTAAAAATGAATACTAATATAGTATTCATCTGGCTCCTTGCTTTGCATGGTGAACTGATTTTTAAGAGACATTTATTTTGTCACGTTTGCTACTTTAGCCGTTCTCTGTATATCCCTTTTAGCCTTTTTTTTTTTAGTTTTCAGATAACTTATTTATTCCAGATAATGAGTTTTCTAATAAAATGTTTATTTTTATTAGTGAGCTATACTTTATTTCCCGTTTCATAATGAATTACAACTTATCATGATCAACTACCTAAGTATGTTTTCCCCTCCTATTTGCTTAGACACCTTGAGAAAACACATGAACTTTTTTCCTTCTCTGACACCTTCTTTTCGCCCCAACACGATCTGTTTAACAGCACTGGCAAAACATTTGTGTTCTTTAAACATGAGGACAAATGATTAACTTGTCAAAAATGTTAGACAGAATACATCAAATGTGCATTAGAACAAATGAAGCTTCTATTATGCATTTTCAAAGCCCATTCAGATTCTTGTTTAAGAATGTTTGATTCCCCCTATATCCAACAAAAGTCTTTAGGGTAAAATAGAAATTACATTTTGAGCAAGTGGAGAAAATTAAAAAACAAACAAGCTCCTGCAGCTGAGCTCATTAGTTTCCCATTTCCAGTTTTACTAATGGGAGTGGGTGTGTGTACATTTTGCAGCATGTTTAATGCTGTAGTTTTATTTATTTTAATTGCTTACATAACTGTAGGCAAGTTCTTTATTTTTCAAATGCACATTTGGCATGTATTTTCAATATTTCTTTTTTGTTTTATTTAAAAAAATTAAAACCTGTTTTTTAAAATTTCTTGGAAGAAATTTGGTTTCATTTTGCTTATCTTGTGGCTTCCTCCTCAATAAAAGTGCCCTCTGAAATCCTTTCATCTCTAATATAGATACATTTTGTTAATTAAAACTTAAAAAACATTCTAATTTATAAATTAGCATTTGGAAATCAAAACACTAGTTTAAAAAAATGTCTTTTTTTTTTTGTTTTGAGACAAGAGACTCCCTCTGTTGCCCAGGCTGGCGTGCAGTGGCACAATCTCAGCTTGCTGCCACCTCTGCCTCCTAGGTTCAAGTGATTCTCCTGCCTCAGCTTTCCGAGTAGCTGGGATTACAGGTGCATGGCACCATTACCTGGCTAATTTTTGTATTTTTAATAGAGACAGGGTTTCACCACGTTGGCCAGGCTGGTCTGGAACTCCTGACCTCAGGTGATCTGCCCGCCTTAGCCTCCTAAAGTGCTTGACCTCCCAAAGTGTTGGGATTACAGGTGTGAGCCACCATGCCTGGCCGAAAAAGATTTTGACTTAATGGAATCAGATTTTTTTAAGCATATTTACTTGTGATAGGTATTGTGATATATATGGGAACAGTTGAGTTCTTTTATACCATACTAAATTATTGATAGGTAAGAGAGAAAGGGACATGATTAGAAAATTAGAATTATACTAATATGTATTCTTCTTAACTTCTAACTTCTTAAAATTGAACACTAGTGCTCCACTTGAAGTCTTCGCCAAAGGATATCCCAGCAGACTTGTCCAAAAGATATTCAGATCTACTGAGCAGGATACTGCTTTCTCTAAGGAAGTTGGTGTATCATACATGAGACTCATGGATACTAAAGTTCTTGAAATGTAATGTGAAGTATTTTTAACTCATAGAATAATACCTTCTACATCAGGATATTGTTTGCGTTATTGGAACAATCAGCAGTCTTTGATTCTATGAGGAAAAATACCAAAACAGATAATTTTTGCAAGGTAATAAATTTGAAGTTTTTCTAAATTTCTACCAGTTCTCATATTAGTTTAAAAACTATCTGGCTGAGCATGGTGGCTCACATCTGTAATCCCATCACTTTGAGAGGCAGAGGCAGGTGGATCACAAGGTTGGGAGTTCAAGACCAGCCTGGCCTATATGTTGAAACCACATCTCTACTAAAAATACGAAAAAATTAGCTGAGCATGGTAGTGCGTGCCTGTAGTCCCAGTTACTCGGGAGGCTGAGGCAGGAGAATCACTTGAACCTGGGAGTCAGAGCTTGCAGTGCGCTGAGATTGTGCCACTGCACGCCAGTCTTGGTGACAGGGCAAGACTCCTTTTCTATTTTTTTTTTTTTTTTTTTCTGAGACAGAGTTTCACTCTTGTTACCCAGGCTGGAGTGCAATGGTGTGATCTCGGCTCACCGCAACCTCCGCCTCCTGGGTTCAGGCAATTCTCCTGCCTCAGCCTCCTGAGTAGCTGGGATTACAGGCACACGCCACCATGCCCAGCTAATTTTTTGTATTTTTATTAGAGACGGGGTTTCACCATGTTGACCAGGATGGTCTCGATCTCCTGACCTCGTGATCCTCCCGCCTCGGCCTCCCAAAGTGCTGGGATTACAGGCTTGAGCCACCACGTCCGGCCTAAGACTCCTTTTCAAAACAAAAAAACTAAAACAAAAACCTGTCCATGTGTGAAAGAGTCCATTTGGTTCTGTTACAATTGTTATAGATGAATTGTGGGTCTATTGCAGCTGGTTCTGTTATGCTTTCCTTTGCTTCCTTTACTTCAACCTTGGTGGCCTCCTGTTGCTCTTCCTCATATACACTAAGTGCTGTCCCTCCTCAGGTCTTTGGACTTACTGTTGCATGGGTCTGCAGTGCTCTTTGCTTACTTGCCTTGCTCACTTTCTCATTCGAATATCATCTCATTCGAATATTATTCCTACTTCCTATTATCACTAATATCACTGTTATGCTTTTGTATTCATTTTAAGACATACTACTTTTAGCATCTTTTTTTTTTTTTTTTTTTCTGAATGGTGTTCAGTTCCTCTCATTAAAGCAAGGATGGTTTTGTTTTGTTCAATGCTGCATTCCCATTGCCTAGAATATAGTACCCGGAAAATAG